CTCCAGCAATTTGCGAGCGCAGACGCAATGCTGAATGATCTGAAGTTACATCTGTACAGCGCCAAAGGCGGACGACTGGAAAGAGTCTGCAAGAAGATCGAGGCCTTTTCACAGAAGCTGAACGCGTACTTTGACGTCGTAGGGGCTTTTGTGCAAACAAATCCTGAGTATGCCGGGTGGTTTTGGGGATGCGTTCTCCTGGTCTGCAAGGTACGGAGACTTTCGCTCATCCTACAACCGATACTCTGAAGTTGACCTTCATCTGCAGCTGGGATGTAATTACACCGGGTTCTTTGAGAGAGCCGCGGACATGTTCGAGCAGATCTCAGCTGCTCTGCCCCAGTACCACGACTACGTCCAACTTTGCCGAGCAAGAAATCTGCCTAACGAGCGTCTTGCTAAGAGTTTGTCCGTGGTTTACGCAGACATTATCGACTTCTGTCACCAAATGTATACGATGTTGTCCGGTCGACGAACTGGTATGTCACTAAAATAGCTCTCGGACTGGTGATGATGATCACATTTAAGTTCTCTCTGACTCTTATCATAGGTTCGTGGAAAGAGCGGGTAGCATTTGTTGGTCGCATACTTTGGTCATCTTTCGACGACAGGTTCGCACAGCTTCTCAATCGAATGAAAAGACACGAGGCCATTTTCCGGCAGGAAATGTCGCTTCATGATAGCAAGATGATGAACGTGGTGCAATCAAGACTCGACATCTACTACGATGCCCTCCAAGCTACTCTTTCTAAATCCTTCACGAAGGTAGATGTTGTATCTGATGTTGTAGCCGCTGAGTTGCTGGCAAAGTCCAAAGGTTTGATGTTGTCAATCTTCCAACTTCTCTGTGGGGAGCTCTGTGCTAATTTCATTTCACGGTAGAGCGGCAGTTATCTACTCTTAAGGAGTGGATGGGCGTATCAGATTACCGCACCATCTATGAGAACGCTAGAAGAAAGAGGCGAGAGATGTCTGGGGAGTGGTTCCTGAGCCTCGATCAATATATGCTCTGGAGAGATGCTCCGTTTGATAACGGAGCTTTGAGGGCTGGCGTGCCAAGGTTTCAGTTTGTTCAAGGTGGGAGAACGTCTTTCATTCTTCGTGTTAGGCCTGAATGCTGATTGAGCCATCGAAGCGAAGCCAGGCTACGGCAAAACCTTTCTCTCAAGTACGATTATCGAGGACTTGCAGGAGAGATCTTCTTTCCATGTCGAAGAAAACGCCAAAATGCCAATCACCGCCTTCTTCCATTTTAACCGGACGTCGAATGTCATGAACAGCTGCGAATCATCAGCTTGCCTTCGTGCGGTTGCCACCCAAGTAATAAGCTCTCTACATGACGACACCTGGGTTCTAGATTCACTAGCCGTCCTCAAAGGCAGCAAAGAGACGGGCCAGTTAGAGGCATCGTTTGATGATGTCCTTAACGCCTTGAAATTGGTAATCCGAGCGCGTCCAGTGTACGTCGTGGTTGATGGAATCGACGAATGCACAGATCACGACACATTGCTCACCTCCTTGTTCCAACTCAGCAACAACAGCGACTGCCGATTACTTCTCCTCAGTAGACCGGATCTCCCACTCCCACGGGATTATCTGAAGTCATCTATGTTTTTGACGCTGAGCACAGAAAACAATTTCAAAGATATTCTGGGGCTCATGAATTCGGAGTTTAAAATGCTGGTTGAAGAAGGATACTTTGGAAACCGCGCCATCCCAGAAGACACCGCGATTCTGGCGGCCCGACAGGCGAATGGCATCTTTCTGTGGGCTCAGTTGTTCGTATCCTGGCTCAGCAATCCCGCACTTACGCCGAAGAATCGGCATACCTTTCTTGCGGACACGCAAAAGTTCGACGGGTTAGACGGATTGGTCATCGCCATTCTTCATCGTTTGGACCAGGCTAGCCAGCACGCCAAGGAAATGGCCGCGAAGATATTCAGCTGGGTCGGAGCGGCATTCTACCCCCTTGCGAGCGAGGCCTTGCACGTCGCACTCGCAATCACTCCTGGCGAGGAGACCACGGACCTCGACTATCTGGTAGACTTTCCGGCATGCATCCCTCGTTTGACCGGAGCTCTCGTGGAAATAGATCCTTTCGGCCGGCCAGCTTTTATTCATCTCTCCGTGAGGGAACTTCTGACATCGCCACGATGCCAGGTTCCAGACTGCTTTTCACTGGCAAATGCTACGGCTATTCACGGGAGACTTGCAAGTGCTTGCTTGTCACACCTTACTCATGATCTTCCCCAAAAGCCCATTCGCAAGCTCCAAGAGGATATACGCCCAAAGCTAGCCGAAGGAAAAGAAAAGTCCAAACCGGATTTGCAGGAGTCGACACATGTTCAACAAGGCTACAACTTGAACAAAGCTGAGGTTTCAATTCGTCATGTTCCATTCCAGCCAACACAGGCGGTATGTGAGGTACTTCACACTCATTTGATTAACCAGACTCTCCCGAAGGAGGCTTCGCTAAGATTCAAACGAAGAAGAGATCACTCCTCACGACTGTCCATCCCCGCACAACAGGGGCCCTTGCCACAGCTCACGGATCCAGGATTGCCAGTGTCAGCGGATCTTTGGGGTCGTGAGTACACTAGCACCATCACGAAACCGATTTCTCGTTCCTACGTGGACAACGACGCCGAGATGCTACAGGCAGATCGAATACATAAGTACCTGGATTCATTGCCTCCTGTTGAGAGAGTTCGGTCACGCTTTACAACGCCCCCAAGGCCTGAAGTTCCTGAACAGCCTTCGACTCCAGCTGCGCCACCATCAGACGAGCCACCACCAAAGAGACACAAGGCCGTCCAAGACGAGGGGTCCAAAAAGAAGCCGCGGCAATGCGTGGACTCGAAGTTTCCTCTTCTTCGTTACGCTACATTATGCTGGGTCCAGCACATATATGCTAGCTTTCACCCTCGCTACAGAAATCTCAAGAGCCAAGAACCCCTCATGCTTGCAAAATACCATGAGATGCGGGCTCAGCAACGCACATTATGTCCAGAAAACAGCCTTCCAAAGTCACCTGCCTGGGCGCCATTTCTCTCTCGCTTCCTATTTTGTAGGCCTTCTGTGACAAACTGGACTGAGTCTAGCTTCCATTACAGGTGGACGCCATCCCTCCAGAAAATAATGAGCCCCATCCATGAGCTCAGCTCCGAGGTTTCTCAGGATACCTCGGAGAATAGAGAACTTCATTGGATATTCATGGGGTTAGGTCAGCTGGCGGCTGCTCTAGATGATCTTGCGCAGAAGTACAGAGCTCGACTTCTTGATAATCCAACGCTAATTTGGCAGCGGGATATTACCAGTGCCACGGATCCAGCATTCTGGCCTGTCTGGGCAGAAGAGAAGCTTGCGGATGCCGAAGGCTGGCCCAGCGGTTGTTGGACGGGTGAATCTTTCGTTCCAGGTCAGACGTTGAAAGATTTGGCATCGTTTCAAGATGATTTCTCTCGAGCCAGGAGCTGATCAGGTAGAACAGAAATCAAAGAGATATTGAATAGCAGCCATCTGTGATCCGGTGCTTCTGGATTTGATAGCCGAGCGCCCTCTAGAAAAGCTGAACACATCATCGCCGGATCATGGTCAGTGGCCGGATCACATATCAGTAGATCACAGAGAGAGAATGAGAGAAGAGACAGAGAGCCGTTTCCTTCGGTTTCAGATGTCTTTTCATCTCGTAGGTCATGAGCCCTGCGCACTGAGAGTAGTAATTGGCAGCCCGCTCTTCAATAACAGCGAACTCTAGATTTCTAAGCAACAAGGATCGGCCGCCTCCGCGTTCAAGAATTGAGCTGCAGAATCACAGTCAGTGGCGGTTCGACCGAGTCGTCTGGCCACATCGTGGGGTTCATCGCAGGGATCGGCCGCCACAGGATGGAGTTGGGCTAGCGCCCCCGGTCGGATCACATCCTGACTATTTGATGATGGATAGAGTAGTTCACATACGGTAATTTGGCACACCAAAGTGCTTGTCATAAATAAATACTCACCTCATTCACTATGCGCCCTCATGACGATGAGAAACACCTTGTTTGATTGGTGGAGGAGATAAACCTAACCTTGGTCTAGATATTGGCGTGTGGGACTTTCGAAATGTAAAAATGGCTTTGAGAGGTCCAGCGGATTGTGAACGTGATGGGATTCGGCGATAGAGCCCTTTTTCGGCCATTTTCAAGTAGGACAGTCAGTATGAGACTTTGAGATTAGGCTGGTACGCCATTCGATGTATTCTCCTGAGTCTGATGAACATATACTAGGGGTTCCATTGCGTCGGGACTTTGCCGTGGCTTGACACTTGTAAGACGGTACGGGTACACCAACGTTTCCACCTGGATCTCGGCCCGGTCCCGCTTTTCAATATGAAAACTGGCTCGCGCTGGGCCCTAACAAGCAAGTCGTTTTTGGACCTTTTGTTCAAGCTTTTTTCTCGCTTGCGACTAGCGAAAGCGGCTCAATGAGCCCCTGGAACGGCAACGCAATCATCCACGATGCCGCGCCAGACCTGCCTCGTGCTTCCGTACCAAGGACGATCTGGGCCTCGGGACCCTGCTAGCCTTACGGGGCTGGGGGAGAACGAATGAGGTGGTTCCCTTGGGTGATAATGTAGCTTGTTTGGCGGGGTCCGTTCCTGGCTCTGAGATTGTCACAACTCCGCTAGACAAACGACCTGGAAGCTGGGTTAAGTCTTGTTGCGCTTGACCGCTTGCTGTTTACAAGGACCAGGTCGGCCGCCGCCGTTCACTTCAGTTCCTGGAGACAAAGAAAAAGATCTTTGGTACGCGACGTGAATGACTATGGAACTTTGGTGTAGAAGTCTTGTGGAGATGGTGTTTGTAGGCAATTACGCGCAACATGTGCGAAGCCTCAGTCTCCAACGATGAAGCGATCACGTATATAAGGTAGCTTTGAGACCTTCAGCCGTCCAACTTCTTTCCTCCCTCAGCACCTCAGTCAAGTCTCAACCACCTGCCTTTCATTCATCATTCAAAATGGTCAACTTCGCCCTCAGCGCCGTCGCCACCCTGGCCGCCCTGGCCCCCCTCGCTGCCGCCGCTCCCACAGCATCTGCGGCCCCCGAGGTCTTCTCCTTCGTCAAGTGGGTCGACGGCATCATCGCCAACCCGCACGGCGACAACCTCACTCCCGAGGAGGCCGTCGAGGCGTACTACAAGTCCGTCAACGCCTCCGAGGCGGCTGCCTTGGACTGGGACTATGGCCGCGCTCGCAAGCGTGACGATGCCGCTGAGGAAGCTACCCCCGAGTGGGATTACGGCAAGCGTGACGAGGTCCCCGAGGCAGCTGCCACTCCGGACTGGGACTATGGCCGCGCTCGCAAGCGTGACGATGCCACTGAGGCAGCTTCTCCTGACTGGGACTACGGCCGGGTTCGCAAGCGTGCCAAGTGCAACACCATCGCAGGCACCCAGGCTTCGGTACGGTTCTTCACGGTGCCCTCTAAAAATACTGAAGCGGCCTCATGATTGACTCTTTGGATTGATGATAGGTCGCCGATGCCGTCTCGTGCATCAACTACCTTGCCGGCCTCGGCAGCACATCGTGCGTCGTCTCCAACGCGAAGAGCCACTTCTGCACCATCGGCAATGCGCAGATCACGGGCGTCACTTCGGGCAGCATTCCCGCAGCCTCTTCCTGGTAGGATCCTTCCTCCCCTACACTCTCAAAAATCCCTAAGAATTCCTATGTTTGGCCCGAGTTGAGTAGCCTTTTGGTTGATGGAGACATATGCTGACGGTGTTTGCCCCTGATTTAGCAATGATGTCGCCCGTGGTGCGGGCTATATCATGGACGCGTGCACTCTGAAGGACAATACTGTCCAGGGTTCTGAGTTTGCGTATGGCAACGGGGATCTCCTCGTCTGGATCCGCAAGCCTGAGTAATCGCATTCGAACTTGAACTGTTCAGTTATGGAAATCGCGTTCTGAAGCAGGCGATGTGGCTGCTTGCGAAATATGCAACTGCTTACAAAGAGTAGGCAGGGGAAGTTGCAAGACGTGTTGGGCCGTACATCGCAATTGGTGGTGATAGACGGAAATATCTCCTCGTTATTTTCGCTGCATATATATACTACAAACCTTTTTCACGACAATGTGAAATACTTTCATTATTCATGTGGTGATTGCTTGAATAGGCACACTATTAAGAACCCTTAGGTGGTTCGAGTACTACACTGGAACATCTTTAGTGAAGGAGAGCACTCGCAGCAGTCAGGTTCAAGCCAATAGTCACATTGCCAAGAACCGAGCTGGCGAGCCAGTTTCCAACATACGAGTTCACATCCTCGGGCTTCTCCCACATCACCCAGTGAGTGCCATTCACCTCACCCCGCGACAGGCTGTTAAAGTACGTCTCCATACCCGTCGACAGCACCGGGGGCAGCGCCGTATCCAGCGAGCCACCGATATACAGCGCGGGCTGTGTGTACTTGGCCGTATATGAGGCATTCGCCGGCACCAGCGCCAGCTCGTCCTGCCAGTTCAGCTCGCCGGTGCGGTACCAGTTTAGCGTCCTGTTGAACGGGTCGCTGACGTAGTTCTCGACATAGTAGTCCATCTCCTCCGCGGTTAGCAGCGGCGTGTCCTCCGTTACCTCGTCGAGCAGCTCGAACGTGAAACCCGCGCCGCTCGAGTTGAAGGCCGATCCGCCACCGGGGAGTCGGACACCGTAGATAGTGTTCAGGATCTGGCGGACGCGGGTGGCGTTCTGGGCCTCGGGGAGGCCGATGTAGTCCTGGACGGCGTCGGTGCGGAACTGCTGCTGGTAGTGCAGCGTGGGCAGGGCGACAGCCTGGTCGATGTATGTGAGGCGTGGGGCCGCGAAGGGCGTGCTGATGACGAAGAAGGCGGAGATCAGCTCGGGGTGCCAGAGGGCGGCGCGGTAGACCACGGCACCGCCCCAGTCGTGGCCGCCGAGGATGATGCGAGATAGGCCGAGGTGGCTTGCGAGGGCGGCGATGTCGTCTGAGGCGCGCTTGAAGGTGCTGGACGGGAGCAGTAAGCATCTTTCCAGAGAATGGCATGTTATGAGTCTCAACTCACTAGAAGCTGACATCTTCCGGCGCATCCGTACCGCCGTAGCCCATCATGTCAGGAGCGACAACCCGGAGGCCTTTTGAAAGAAGGTAAGGGATTTGGTTACGCCATCCCAGGGACATATCAGGCCATCCGTGGATGAGGAAAATCGTGCCGACGACATTGCCTGACGCTGGCTCGGCGAGGATGTAGTTGTACTCGACGCCGTTCAGCGTGGCGCTCTGGTACTTGACCCGAGGGTCATTAAGAGTTACGACAGACATCACGGCGAGTTCAAAAAGAATGTGAATGCAGTTGGTGGTGACGCCGGTGTCGTGCGTAAACAAAACAACCCCATATCGCCCGAGGGGTCCCTGTCCACTATATACAAACACCACCAGGCCACTCAGGTTCCTCGGCTGACACCATTTTGCATTGGGTAATAAAGCTTAGCAGAAAAAAAAGGCGTGCCTCGGTTGCACCTATTGTGGATAGAAAAGCCGTTTTCTTCGAGATTGCCAAGATGATGCCCCTTTCTGTGGTGCTATTTGTGGAGTGACAAGGGCGAAATATTCCCACGGAATACCCAGAAACAGCTAGGAACAGTGGCACCGCAGCGAGGACAGCCCGGGACAAGGTTAATTAGGTGTAGCGGGGCCTCCGACTGGCGTGGATTTGGGGTAGGGGTTGTTTTGATGCGTCTGACTCGGGCCGGGACCGACGACGTCAATCCAAGCTCGTTCTCGCACTCCGGGTAGGGCGCGATATGAAAAACACGAGAAATATTGGAGATGCGCTTACTGTTTTCATGCTTCCTTGAGCAGCCGAGTGTGGTCTTCGCCTGTAAGGGGCCTCGTCAAATGGCTGGCCGCGTGCAATTTGAGAGAGACAATGATCGGAGAGATGTTGAGATGCAAGTCTCTGTTGACGCGCCGCACCTTGCTCACATCGGAACAGGTTGCAATATCAAATTCGTCTCGGCGATAAGATTCAACCAATGCCTATGTTATTTGGATGTCGAGGATCGATATCACCTTAGACATATCTGAGTCAACGCCGAGGTTCGAGGTTCAGGTCCCGAGGGGCCATTAACCGCTAGCTCATGCAGTGCAACGGCACAACCTCGATAACATCCGCGGCACACTTCAAAGAATTCTTCAACCCAAACGGCCAAGACCGGGTATTTTTATGCATCATTTACGGACACCCGCTGAGTCTGGAACGTGAAGCTCAGCAGCCCAATCTTCACTACTGAAGGCTTGGTCGGGGAGAACCCTTCGACAGTTTTTTGCTGCCCTTCTTGAGCGATTTTATTGACTCGGACGGGTAGTAAAATATCAAGGAAACTGTACTGAAATCAAATTGACCGCTGCAATAAGCCATTCTCGCGGCCGTCAACTTTTTGAGGCAGCCCATCAGTCCAGCGGCCCGTACCGCGGAGGCATCTGAAACTCCACATGAGGCTTGTTCTTCAATTCCTCTGGCACTGGAGGCATGACCTCCATTCCCTCCAACAGAATGACCTGTTGCCCGCTCTGCCGTCGGAGCCGAGTTAGTGACCGAGCAACTATAGAACTTGCGAGGCTAAGGCTTACCGCGAAATGATGGATCATGTGACAATGCAGCATGCTGACAGCAGGAAAGTAAATCTTGTAGCGGACCACGACGAACTTTCCTTCCCCCGCTTGCAAAGTAAACCCGTCTCGGTAAGGTGGATTATCCAAGTTGAAGTATTTCCCGCCCCCGTGCTTGATGGCGTCGTCGACATCTTTCCAAGGAAAACCGCCTTGCCCCTGTCCGACGATGAAGACTTTGTGGTTGTGCTTGTGGAAAGGGTGGCTGGCGTCGACTTTGGCTCCATTCTCAATGATCAAATCGACGACGGATCCGTTTTTGAGAAACCCATGTGGATTTCCCCACGACGTCTTGCCGCGGGACTTTTCGTTCCATAAAATGGGAGGGACATTCTGACGGAAGAACTCATGCGGTGCCGCATTGAGGACCCATGTTGATGGCCCCGCGTTGTTGACTGTGAATTTGAGCGTGAAATCCGCTTTCTGAGGGGGCGGTCGAGGCGGGAATGGTGATAACTTGGTTTCTTCCATGACCTTGTTGGCAGGATCCACAAGACTACCGTTTAGATGTAGCCATGGTTTAGTGCTGGGAACTGTTCGATTGGAGCTCTTAGATAGATCCTGTAAGAACTTCTCATTAGCTCGATTCATCTCTCATATCAAGTATGAGTGAAGGTCACCTTTGCTGCTGCATATCGCAAGATACCGGCTCCTTGAATCATCTGCTCAGACCGCAGAGAATGCAGTCTCAACGCATAGTCTCCAGCAGACTTGTCCAATCTGACTAGAATGCTGCATTGAGCAAGGGTCAGTAGTCTAAGTGATAGATGAAGGAAGCGTATGAGCATGAGTCTCACCTCGTTCTTTCACCGAGATTGACATGAGTCCTTACCACCCGTTGCGGATGTACAAATTCTCCATCAGCCCCTACAACCCAGAATTCGTGCTCATCGATACTGATAGCAAGGGAATGATGGGCTCCAGAGTGGATGAAATTGATCCAGATCCATTCTTCCTCTGGATCAGCTTGGATGACTTCCAGTTCCGGGTGTGTCTCGGTGCAGAATTCGGGGTTGGTGTATTCATGGCCAGGGATTAGGTAGCGACAACCCCTCTCATTGCGTCCAGGTCCACCAGCATCTTCGAGATCACGAGCAGACTCGCATCGCGTGCCACCCCTCCCGTTGAGAGTCAGACTGTTGGCACATATTGGGATATATCCGGTGTCACGGAAGCGGATGAGATACATGTCCATTGGCTGATCATTCCAGTCGGCAATAATGACGTGTCGTGGATTTCTCTCCGCTACTCGCATGGCCCGGATATCGTGCTCATTGTCAGATATGAGATGGTACGGTCGAGGACGCCAGGCAGCTGGCACAATCCAGATCGGACCCCTTTGGCCCTGATTACATCCTGGTCAGGCTGATCGATGGGCTTGGAGCGAAGATAAGTAACACTTACATCAGAGAAGGCGGGGCCAAAGTGCCCATGATAGAAGTAGCTTCCATACTGTCCTTCAGGTGTGAATCGATAAGTATAGTTGTCTCTGGGCTCGGTGGCCCACTCCATATTGTTAGATGACCGGTGGCTGACGCAGGTGATGTTTACGGGAATGCTTACCTGGGTAACGCCTGGTACGCCATCGTTCCAGGGCTCGTGAATTTGATAAATACCGTGCCTGTGTGACCTTAGATATTGTCTAATTTCACGGAAAATAGACTGCACAGGAGTATACCAGTGAATAGTGGTTTCAATTGGTAGTTGATTGTCCACAAATGCTTCAAGGGTTTCTCCTTCTTCAACGGTGAGTACAGGCCCAGGAGTGTCTCCGTTGATGAGATAGGTCGGACGGCCATGACCATCTGCGTCTCAGTCAGAACAAATAACTGAACAGGGTCAGTTAGGTCGCACCTTGTTTATCCCAAGCATACGTTAATGTGAGATTATATTTCCGGACTTCTTTACTCACAACTACTGCAAGCGCAGAAAGAAAGAAACCCACGACTCTGACGTGCATCATTCCAAAAACACTACTTCAGTTTCGTTCACAAGATGTCCTGGCACGTTTTGGAAGAACCTGATGAGGGTGATAGTAGGATGGACATAAAATGCCCTGTATGATGTATTGCACCGGTGTAAGTTGAGCCTCTGCTGTGGTTCTGGCCATACTACCTACACCACACAGTCGGCCACCAACTCACAGTCGAACCCCGATAGGTTCTTAGAGATCCGCGTCAACTATGCCACTCTCTCCAGATCAGGAATCTCTATCCGGCCCACCAGCTGCCGGTGCATTGACGAGAATCCCACTAGCTCCGGGACGAAGCTTTAGGTCCGAGTCATTCGTACCGGCACGGAACCTGAGTACTCCCCGGGGTAGGGATCCAAGTTGTGGAGTAATCCGGGGAGTCGCAGTGTTCATGCGGGGGGATAGTCGAGGTTCAGTAAGTGCCTTCTGGGAAACCATCGCAGCTGCATTGTTTCATTGTTCGAAACTAGTATTTCCGAGCCTTTCGGACTTTACATTGAGTGAGTGGTGTTGTGACCCAAGCAGACTTTCAATCTCCTATCCTAGCAACCTTTCATGAACAAACTGTCACAAGCGTGGTTCCACGTAATTGTCAGGGTTGCTGTCCAAGAACTCATTGACCCTGGCTGCGTTATTCTCAGCATACTGCCAGATGGACGCGTGTCCGGCACGAGGCCAAATGACTAGCATGCAGTTGGGTATCCCATCCAGAAGCTCATAGCTCCGAGGTGTAGGGACCAGGTAGTCATCATCGCCCGTCATCACGAGCACGGGCATTGTAAGCTCATGAAGTCTGTAGTACGAATGTTTGTTCTTGTCACCCGGCGCGCACCAGTTCTTGATACACGCCAACTGTATCATGAAGCTTTCCACGTCGTTGAAGGTTGGTAGTGCTCCATCGGCAGCATTTTCGTTGAACTCACTCTGTCGCAAGCGTTTGAAGTAAGAGTCGGCGGCCGCTGTGCCCTGGTCATCATTGCGAAAGAAAGTGAGAGTGTAAGCGGCCTGCCAGTCCGCCTCAGAGGCACTGCGCTGCAAGGACAGGAAACGATCCAGGTTCGGGTCGGTCCGGGGCCAAAAGTGGTCCCCTGGGGTTGGCCCGGAGGGATCAGCGCCGACTAGGATCAGGCGCCTCACTCTATCTGGCTTTGATAGCGTTGCCATTTGGCAGGCCATGCTTCCGATGGAGAAGCCAAGCAAGTCAATGTAATCGAGAGTCAAGGCATCAAGGAATGCGTTTAGATCGTCTCCCATGATATTTACTAGGGAGCATGGATCAGCTGACGGCTTTACTAATGATCAAGGTAGAGGAGCACATACTGTCGATTGGGGTGCGTTGGGTGTCGCCAGTGGTCTGTCCAACTGCCGGCGGGTCGAACATGATGACCGGGCGCTTCATCGCAAGTGGGCGTATGAACACGGGATCCCAGTAACCCATGGAGGCTCTCACCTGATAATCATCAGCTATCGGGTCTGGATCGACACGAGTGCCACTCACATGCATGTGCAACACGAGAGGGATACCCTCGGCGGGGCCAAGCCGTCGATAGGCATAGACGATGCCATTCTTCGCCTCGACCTTCTGGACAGGGACGTAGGTGGGGAGCATATTGGTAGTGGATAACCCAACGGAGATAATTGTTCAGGAAGTGGCTCGGGTGAGAAACTTGGGTAAGGGGCACGTCTTGTGGCCTGTTTTGATGTTTGAATGGGTGGCAGATGGTTGTTTCCTAGAAAGCTCGACTATCTCTGTCGTTATGCTTTAGGGACTGTTACGGCGTTAGCTACTGTGTGCAGTGAACAAGGTTCATGTGAGTGATTCGAGAAGCGATACTATCGTACTTTTCGTGTCAGTTATGGCACATCTTGGGCATTAAGGTTCTTCCATATGACCGGAGGCAGAAAGCATATTTCAGCAGAAGTCATCCGAGCCTCAATAAGGTCGTAGACTGCATGCAAGCGAATGATCGTGCAAACATTCTATTGCGACGGATATTAATCCACCCTCTACCCAAGCTAAGCACGGTCGGTAACTTTCAACGAAAAGCTCGATGAGCATTAAAGCAACCAAAAACTCTTTGTGAAAAAGGACAAATGAAAACCACCATCGGACTTTGCAGTTGAAGTTCTTGAGTCATACATAAGGTGTCGAAAATGACGGCCTGCGTGTCGTGGAAACCGATGGGATGCCGAAGGGACGCCGCGGAACACGCACCGCATTGTGAGCCAGTCGGGCGGCTCCGAGGAACTTTAATCCGTTTGGTTTACGTCCAACCAATCAACCACCCATCGAGACAGTTTCGTTTGACTTTGTTTTGCGTAACGATCAAACCATTCCAGGTAAAGCAAGCGCCTAATAATGTTGTTGCTCATTAGATTGTGCGTAATCAACTCCGAGCGTCTTGCAATTGAGGTTGTAGCACTTCACGTGCAACGTAAACTAGCTGGAAGCTTATTGACACGAGGCGGGCGCGGGCAGAAAGAATTCGGCGCTTAACTACCTAAAACATCACTATTATAGGCAAATTGCCCCGTGTGCCCAAGCTTAACCAAACACTCCGTCGTTCTTCGGCGCGAATTCAACATGCGGCATGTGCTTCACATGTTCTGGCACCTCATCCCGCATGCTTGAATCCATGCCCTCAAGCAGGGGTACTGACATGCCCATCTGAATGCGGGGTCAGCCATGGCCGGGGTCAGGTAGGAGAATAGGAGAGAGCCCGAACTCACCGCGTAGTATTTGAACTTGTTGGAGTGTAGCATGGTGGCCCCACGGACCCGAATCTGCCACCGGAGTACTGCCCAACCCAGGGGTGGCACGTCATGAACCAGCTGCAAAGGGGGATCTCGGACATTGAGGTGCTTTACTCCGGCTGCGAGCGCATCTTCCACGGTGTCCCATTTCCAGGTTGCGTTGGGCTGGGAACCGACAAGGAACATGGGGTCGCCATGCTTGTAGAGTGGCATCATCTCGTCGACTGTGTTCTGGACGATCACGTCGACTGTGGTTCCCCACGGCAAACCACCGACCACGGGGGCCTCCACGGCCGAGACGTTGTCAACAAAGAGCAGCGGTCCCATCTGTGAGTGGTACAGTTGCCACGGCTTCTGGTTCAGGAAGAATTCGGTGACGTGCCTCTCGTACCGCGAAGGCTGCTGATCAATCTTGAAGTGAAGAGTTCTGTTGGCCTTTGGGGGTGCAATGAGCGTGTAGGGCGCCATAGACGCTGTCGACGCCATTTTGCATGAGGGTGCGACTGCGCCATCGGGTCTTACACATGGCGGCGAGCCACTTGGTGGATTCTGAACTTCCATCGGCGCGCCATGGGCTGGGTAGCGCAACGCCTTGAAGACTGTATGTCAACCTTGCTGAGCTGACGTTTCATGGGGCAGACTCACGGGATATCTAAGAATCGAATAGCCATGGAGGTTTTGATATTTGCTGGTCGATACCAGTCGCATTGTGTAGTCGTCTCCTGGCTGATCCAGCTTCACCAAGACAGTGTAGCGGGCCCCATTTGTGATGTAGAGAACGTCAACAAGCTTTGGCTTGATGAATCCGCCGTCATTTGCAACAATCCACATCTTATGGTCGTCAATGCTGAAGTGGATAGCATGCTCGAATCCGATGTTCAGGATGTTGAGCATGATCCAAGGTCTACCGTGGGTTTCAATTACCTGAGATAGCAGTGAGTAAAAATAAAGATATTGCATGCGCATCTGAAGTGGAAGTAACTTCACCTCGTAGTCAGCCTTGGTAGGAGTGCAGCGAACTCCATCGTTTCCGTTTTCAATTCTGCAACCTGACTCATCTAACAGGTTTCCGTCCAGTTCAGTGAAGTCGGGATGACGGCAGTGTCGTCGACCTTTGGAGTTAACGAGGATAGAATCGTAGCAATTCAAGTTTGTCCCTTCGCCTTTCAACTCCATAACCCGCCATCCGGCATCTCGTCGATAGTAGTTATAAATCAGCATGTGTTTTGCATTCCGTTCTGCCTCGTGAATGAGGGATAAGTCTGTGGGCGACGAAGTTATTTCGCGATAAGGACGAGGGCGGTCGGGTGCCGGCGCGACGTAAGTCAGTCCATGGGCCCCGTCCATGATCCCCAGACCAGTATGGTCGGCATACCAGTTCAGTCCCCAATGTCCTGTGGTATCATAACGGGAGGTGAAGTTCCCTCGTTGCAAGAGTCCATACTATCGAGCCGGTCAGCGCAAGAAGGGTAGACAAGAAGAACGAGGTTTCATTTTACTTGGTTCAGGCCTCCAGTTCCGTCGTTCCAAAACCCGAATCTGCCCAAATATTTCAGCTCAATTCATGAGGTACACCATTATTTGAAAACTATCACCAGCTTACTTTCGATGATTCATTCCCGACCAATGGATAGACACCTGAGCAAACAGATCATTGTGGACGTTCAACTCAACAATATCCCCTTCCTCGGCATAGAGGGTTGGGCATGGGGTCTCTCCATTGCAAACATAGAAACCTCTCCAAAAGCCACCATCTAAAGTAATGCATCAGAAATATCTCACACGTGACTGGGAATTTCAGATAACAAACCTAGATTCAGCCATCGAGCCCCAACTGTAAGATTGTATCGTCTAATTACTTGCTCTGCGGGCTTGACATGAGGGCCTACGCCCACATCCGAGAAGAGTTCGTTGCGGTGACTGACAGGCCAAACGTTCCACCAAATCAGTACAAATAGGGCGATAATCGACCCAAGAAGGGACCAACGAGCTGGTCGTGAAGCTGGGGCCACGATCGAAGCTCGGTCCCTACGATAGCTCTGCGCCTGACTCTCGCCACTAACAACTACGCCATTGATTTGATCAAACTTCATAGGGAACTCCATGATGGGTGCTTTTCTCAACAAGAGACTGAGGGTCAAAAAAGAATAGCTGTGTCGTTAGATACGGAGCCCGCCGGCGATATCTCACAGAAAGAAGATAGATTTTTGGCTTGAGTCTCCTAGGCGCAACACTGCTAGTTGTCGTACATCGAAAGAGCGATCGCTCCGTCTCAGACACAAGCTAACCATCATCGCCTAGTCTATTTTCCATCATCGCCTTGGTACCCTTTGCTGCCCAAGGTGGGGTGTAAACATGGATCAACACATTACTCGCATTGATGCACGGCAGAGGCCAACCGAACGAACAGCTCCGTGGCCGTCGCGTGCCTCCCACCCAAGCCGGGATGAAGCTAATCCAACCAGAACTAAAGTTTGACGACGAGTGTTGGGATGGAAAGCCTTGGGAAACCTTGCAAATCATCTGAAAAACTTCTAGATATAGTTAGTTTTCCGGCGAACAGAATTCTGTCACCTCAAACATGGCGCCATGAGCTAGCTGCCGAGCGTTTGTCTGGGCAGATTTCTTTCTATGTGCGCACCACTGGGATGAGGAACGAGCGTGAGTTCTACGACACCATAACGTAGTACCACAATGGCGGACTAATCCGTGATCAGCTGCTATTAGCAGCATCCGAAACCTTGAGAACTTCAAGAAATTACGACATCAACCCAAATTGTTCGGAGGTTTTGTAAAGCATCATCTTCATTCAGTGCTCTTGACTCGAGAGACTTCAAGCTCACCAGCTAGAGCTTTTTGTTCCAGGACCAGGCCCGTAATTTGAGAAAAACGGATCAGGCAATAGCCTAGTCAACCTGGGCTCACACATGGGATCCCACCAACAGCATCTGATAGGTTTCGGTGGCACTTTTCTCGCCATCTTTCTCACAACAAGCCTCAAGCACTTGGGCTTTGGACGTCCTCCACAGCTCACTTGTTGCAGTCAAGACTCACCCCAATTAGCGACGGGAAAATGGAATCAGCTTCAGTAGTCAGGATGCCACTTTGGGACTCAGTAAGTCATACCAAATGTCATAACAAGCTCGCCTGCTGAACGCAGTGAACAGCCATTCAAAGACAAAACGAAGTCTCGAGTTAGCCGATCCAAGATCAATACGAATGGAAACGCGCGAAACAACCTAGTCACCAGGTCGGCGCTTTCATCAGTGTCGAAATGGCTGCCGCCCAGGGACGAGCACAGTGACTACTGGTGGAGTATGGTTGGGCCTCATTTCGCTGCTCTTTTTCGCAACGCGGACTACAGTCTGGAGGCCCAATATGAGTTTCTCCTATTCATCTATCACCAGGTGGCTCCGCGGCTGGGCTCTTCCCCTCGCGTGCTTGCATTAGGATCCGCAAAGGGAGACAGCGGACTTTCTCTGGATGGGACACACATCGAGTACAGCTGGAGATGGAACGAAGCCGGCACGAAGCCTGAAATTCGCATGGTCATGGAGCCATTTAGTCGATTTGCAGGCACTTATATGGATCCTTTGAACATCAAACCGGCGACGGAGATGCTGTACTCTATGGCACCCCAAATTCCGTCTCTCGACATGAGCTTGTTCAATCACTTTATCGGGAAATTCTACGACGCTGCACAGCACAAGTACCTGGAGACTAATGAACGGCCAATAATGACGAACGTATGTCTCGGATTCGAGTTTTTGGGGCATGAGATACTCCCCAAGGCGTACTTCTTCCCGCGCAAGCTCGGTCAAGTCGGTCTTACTCCCATGGCCGTCTGGGAAGATGCTATCACCTCTGCAGTCCCCGATACACCAACCATTGGCTCCGTGTTCTCCTTCGTCAAAGGAGAGGCGCCAGACCTGGGCTTGACACTCACACCGCTTTGGTTGGGTATTGACGTTGTCCGTCCAGCGGATGCGCGCCTCAAACTTTACTGCGTCGAGGCTCGTACATCGTTCGAAAGTGTCAAGTCCGTTCTAACGATGGGGGGAAAGATTGGCGTCCCCGGTAATTTACTTGAAAAGGCCTGGGAGCTGATGAAGGCTGTTTGCAATCTCCCTGCAGACTTCCCTCAGGATCAGGATCTCCCAAAAGCACCCCAATACAACGTTTCAACCGATGGAGTTGACACCGCGGGCCTTTGGGGGACCTTTGCGTACTACTTTGATATCGGACTTCGTCAACAAGAGTTACCCGACGTGAAGTTCTACATTCCAGTATGTCACTATGGCGCAGATGATCAGGCAATTGCAGAGGCAATCACCAAGTGGATGGTAGACAATGATCGAGGTCAATACGTGGACGCCTACTGGAGTTCCCTTCGCGATATCATACCGCACAGGGAACTGAAGGAGTCTCGCGGCGTTCACATGTGGCTGTCCATGATGATCAGAGGGGGCAAACTGCAGATTACGACATACATTGCACCAGAGGGACACCATCCCAAGCGCCACGGAGGGGCTGCAAGAGTGCACAGAGAAATTGCTGCGCGAGTTACAGGATTCTAGAATGTGAATTAGGTAGTTGAATTGGGCAATAAAGTTTGTGCTCCAATTCTCGCTTGCGCGGCAAGGAAGACATGCCGGCGACCCTCTTGGATCTTCAGACCAATAACCCAGTGAAACAGGCCGCACGTGTCATGGATGGGTCATGGATGCAACCCGCTGACCCAAAGGAATTTCTGCTTTCCTTCCGCGGTGGTAACCCCGGTACGGTGCACCATTAGGACATATCCGCTAACCCCTAAATCTACTAATCCACTAATCTATAAATCTCACTACTAAGTAGTATAAATATCCCTAATTAGCTTAAATCCCTAAATCTATAAATCTATAAATCTCTTAATTTTAAAATCTATAGATATTAGAATTTATTTATAATTATATATAATTATATATAGTTATATATAATTATAACTATTAGTTTAATCTTCTTAATTATATAGCTTTATATTTCTAAACTATTATTATACTACTTCCTCTTTATAATTTAACTTTACTCTATTTAATAATATTAATAAATATATTATATAAATTTACTACTTTTAGTTTATAGCTATAAAAGTACTTATTAATTTAAAACCTTAATAACTAATAATTAATAAGTTTTATAATAATAATACTACTCTTACTAAGATATAGGAATATTTTATAATAAAAGGAGTTAAAATAAATAATTAAACTATTAAATAAAAGCTTATAGAATAGAGATATTACTACCTCTTAATTATTAAAATAAAAAATAAAGAAAATATACTTCTCACTATTAAGTACTTCTATTATAAATAAGTAGCTTTAAATAAATAAATCCTATAATAACTTAAAGTTTATAGCTATAGTAAGTTCTCTTTTAGCTAATTAAAAAAGATATAATATTTAAATAAGATAAAGAGAAGATATTAAAACTATTATAAGAGGTAATAAATAGAGTAAACTACTATTTAATTTATATATAATAATTTAATAAAAATACTAGCTATTTTGAACTTTAGTTATAGTTATCTATATTAATATATTTAGTTTAAAACTAGTATTATAATTAGAAAAAATTAGATCTATAGCTACTATAAGGATATATTTCTAAATAAAGTTATTATTTAATAAAAGGGGAATTAGTAATATTATATAGATTTTAAAGTTTTTAGACCTAATTTCCTCTAAGTAATAGATAGATATAAAAAACTAAAGAAGTTTAGATTTTAAATCTATACCTATATTAATATTTATTTAAGATATATTATATAGATCTATATTAGATATTTAATAACTACTATAATAAGTATTTTTAAGTAATACTTATATATAATTAAGAAGAATAGAACTAGGTTATTTATTATAAAAATAAACTATAATAGTAAAACGCCCCTCTTTATTAGTATTTAAGCTTTACTTATAGAGGCTAATTAAATAGAAGTTATTTATATTAATAAAAATAGTATTTATTAGACCTATTAATAAAGTAACTAAATATTATCTTACTATATCTAAATACTTAGTATTAAGAATATAAAGATTAAACTATAGTAGAGGCTTTTATAGTTAGGTATAACTAATTAATAAATTATAAATCCCTCCCTTAAACTAGAAAGAAGATCTTATCCTTAATACTATATTAATATTTTATAATAGAGTTAATAAACTCTAGAGACTTTATTTAAAATAATATTATCTATCTTATTATAGTTTATATTATATTTATAAAAATACTATAGGATAAAGTTACTAACTTTATAAAAACTTAGAATAACTATTAAATATAGAACTAATAGAAGACTTATTACTATATCCTAAAAGGTTCTCTAATTTAACTTTATACCTTAAAAAAGGTATTTAATTAGGTAGTACCTATTAAGTAAAGCTCTAAAGCTAATAAGTTAGTTAATAAGATATTTAAACCCTTTAATAGAGTTAATATTAATAAATTCCTCCTACTAAATACTAAGGTATAATATTAATAGTAGTTTATAAAATTAAGCTTTAATCTAGTATTACTTATAAGCTATAAAGATTAAGTATAACCTTATATTAATATATACTATAAACTATAGGATAGGGTTAATATATATATATAATTAAGAGTATTACTATAACTTAGTATAGTTAAATAGCTAATTAATAGAACTAAAAGATATATAAATTATAATACTATAATCTAAATTATAAGAGAAGTCCTAACTAAAAATATATAGTTTAAATTACTCTATTAAAATAACTATTATACTATAAGAGAATAAAACCTTTAAAGTAACTACTTAAGATAAAATAAACTAAATATATTAAATATTATAGATAATAGCTAGTAAAGTAGCTAACTAATCTCTTACCTTTTTCTATTTAGGATTTATATATAAGCTATAACCTTAAACTTTTTTCTAGGATATAATAAGTTATTTATTATATACTTCTTAATCTTAAGTATTAATATAAAAAAGGTTATTTAAAGTACTTAAAACACCTAAAGTACCTAAAATACTAGAAATATTAAATAGGTCTATAATACTTAATTTATCTAAAATACCTAAAATATTAATAATAAT